CAATATGCGTTTTTGCTGGCTGTAGCAGCGCTATAGCGCTGCACAGCAAAAACGCATAAAAATAGTCGAAATGTTGTCTGGTTTCCGGGGCAAGAAATTTCTCACTCAGAATTTGTTGTGCCAGTGTGTGTAACATAGGAGTTCATGGAGGTTTGAATCTGAATTTTTATGAGCAGAAAGCGTCATGAACAGAAAACGTCATGAACAGAAAACGTTCTCCGATAATTTTTAGCTTTCTATCTTGTCCAGTTGCCAAGACAGGAAATTTCCGGCCAGAAATTTCACTTGTTCGTACGTGAAGTCTAGGTTTAACTGGAAGATTAATTTAAATTCATAAAGCGCATGAGCAAAAATATCCTTCTAAAATTTCAGCCTTCTATCTTCTAACTGCCTCTAAGTTCAGAAAATTTCTTGCAAAATTGTGCCTTTAAGTTAAACCTAGGCGTATGTAGGAGCTGAATTTGAGTTTTTAGGGTTGCATAAGGGCAAGGCATATGATCCTACAATTTAAGCCTCCTAGTTTTTTTGGTCCTCGAGTTAGTGGTTATCTCTGGAAAGTTTCACTTGTCCGTACTTGTGATCTAAAATTAAGCAGAAGCTGAATTAAAAATCTGCGGGATTACACACGAGTAGGAAACATTTTCCTAAAATTTCAGCTTGTTAGATTTCCTGATTCCTAAGTTAAAAACCCCCTGAAAACTCACCCTGTTCACATGCAGACAGGGTCTCAACAATGTGCGCTTTCTGTAGTTGTAGCAGCACAAAACGTATAACTATAAGCGTCCCCATCACAATCTTGAAGAGGCGCCGGTTACAATGCTGTAGTTTATTCTCCGATATTACTGCAAAGACCGGACAAAGTAATTTTGGCGTTCTTGTAAACTAGAGCAAATCCGACTTCCTGGTTATCGTTGGCAGTTTACAACCATGTATCAGAATTTTAAATCAAAAATTTCAAAGAGTCTAAATTAGTGTTTGGAGTTAGAAGAACTTTAAAGAGGAATGCTTGGAGTTGCAGTTCTGTCTACTATGACTAATTCCTTTTCCAAACCCAGGCTGGAGTGGACCCAGGCTTCCTGGTGCGATCATGCGATTTTGCATCAAACTTGAAGTAGTTAGATTGTTAATTGCATTAATGGTTGCACCTACTTTTTGCGCTCCCTAGAGTTTATCATGGTAAATTGTGTATAAAAGGAAATAATTTGCGTTTAGAGGTCGTTCTTTGAAAAAGACCATGCTGTTCAGTGAGCAATTTTCCCGTCAAAAATTTCACGTGCCGCAGGTGGGAACCATGCATATCCCAGGGCTGAATTTGAAGTCTCCAAGTTTTATTAGGACAGGAACATTCCTCTAAAATTCAGCTCCCCAGCTTTTCTGTTTGCTAGGTTAGTATTTTTCCCACGAAAACTTTTAAGTGCCCGTACAATGAGAATCACGCGTATCAAGAGGCTGAATTTGAAATGTTTAGCTCATATATGCGTAGAATATATCCCGGCTAAGTCTCAGCCCTCTATCTTTTATGGCTCACGAAACCGCCTTCCAGCCAAAGGGTTGCATATTTTTTAAGGCATCCGTACGTTGTAACGAGGCGTGTTCGAATGATAATATTAAAGCGGGAGGGTCGCAGGGGTGGTGGACATATACTCTCAAAATTTCAGCTTTCTAACTTTTCTGGTTTTCGAGTTGAAAGTAGGTGACAAAAAATGGAAAGACACACACGCACATATTGAGAGAGCCTCTTGTCAGTGTGCGTTTTTGCGTTTGCATACATGCAAAAACACATAAAAATGTTTCATAAAATCATTGGTATTTAAGCCCCTTCATTCTGGATGCACATTTGCATCTACAAATATTGATACATTTGCAGCTGCTGCGTTAAATAAAACACATTTCATTTAACTGCTAACCCAGAAGAGGAGTGATACCGTAGCCATAACCACCGCCGTAACCGAAGCCACCATATCCCAGTCCTAAAAATGTTGTATTAATTAAAGAGAAAAGCTCACATAAACTTTTACTAGACGAGAGCAGAACCAACCAGCATAAGCGTCGATTCCGGGCAGCCCACCAAGCAATTCGCTTTGGGCCTCAAGTGCGTACAAATCGCCTGAAATTCGTAAACACTGTTTAAAAAACCAACATAAAGCAGAAGAAGCGGTATGCAAACTTAAATGCACCTCTACAATTATAATGATAGAAAATGAGAGTTTGAACAAAAATATACCGTATCCACCGAGACCGAAAGGCGCTCCATATCCATAACCACCGTAACCGAGCATACCCATACCATATCCACCCCAGCCCATCATGCCAACTCCGCAGCCCCAGCTCCAGCTGCCGCAGCCCATCCCGCATCCTATGCATCCAAGTCTCCTTATAAAGCACATTCTGCATCCGCAACATCGGTTGGGAAAAAAAAATGCTCGAGGAGTTGGGACCAGCAGAAGTAAAATCAGCAGATATGCAATTGCCATGTCAGCTGCAAGTTCTAGAATTTGGAGCTTTAATTTAAACACATTACACTGAATATAGAAAAGGTAAGTTTATAACTCAGGGATCTGAGATGCTAAAAAGCTGAAATCTTAAGGGGATGTCTCCCGTCCATGTAGATATTAATGAGCTCAAACCCAGTCCCCGGTTAAGAATAGCACCCGCGTACGTGCCCGTGAAATTTTTTTACGAGTAGGTTGATAACTTGAGAACCTGAAAAACTACAAGACTATAATATTACGAGGATGTTCCCCGTCCACATTAGTCTGAACGAGCTCAAACGCAGCCCCCGGGTATGCGTGGTACCTACGTATTGGTTCACCAAATTTTCCTCGAGTAAGTTGCTAACTCGAGAACCTGAAAAGCTAGAAGAGTGTGGTTTTAAGAGGATGCTCCCCGTCCAAGTAGGCCTCAACGAGCTCAGACCCAGACATAGGATATGCGTGGTACCCACGTGCGGGCACGTGGAAGTTCTTTTCCAGTAAGTTGCTAACTCAGGAGCCAGGAAAGCTAGAAGGCTGAAATTTTAAGGGAATGTTTCCTGCTAGTTCTGGCGGCCAGTTTTAATTTGTTTAGCTAGAAGCATTTGCTGAGAAAACCGATGGCGGTAGCGACAAAAACTGCGGGGAACTATGCAAAAAACGTATTTTCGCATGGGGAGCCCGTGCAGTGGCCAATTATTTATTATGGTATATCAGCAGCCCCTCCGACGGTAAAAGTTCTGTGCTCTCGTGCCTTCCTGTGAAGCAAAACTTTCTGCTGGAATTCTTTTACTGTCTTTCGATTCGTTAGAATCATTTAAGCTAGACTGGTAATTTCATTAGAAAATTAAGGCTAGTGAATAAAAGACTTTTTCTTAGAAACTCGTAAGCTTGCTCTGATGGCAATTTTACTTCTGAGCATGATGAAGAAAACGTTACTGTGATATAAAATCATTGGCGACGCGCACTGGGGGGCCCCGTGCGATCATGCGTTTTTGCAGTTTTTCGTGCTGTAATAAGATTACTTGAAATTCGGCTAGCTAGAAACCTCTTTTACATACTGGTCCTCGAATTTCGGGAACTTAATTATCCACGCTATAGTTGGACAGGGAACATTCCCTTGAAATCCCACATTCCCAGGTTTCTTAGTTCCCGAGTTACCCAAATTGCAGCGAAAAAATCTCACGGGGCCGTGCGTAGCCACCACGCATAACAAGGGCCTGAATTTGACAAATTCAAGTTGTAGATGAGTTGGGAACATTTCCTGAAAATTTCAGTCTCCCTGCTTCCCTGGTTCTAGAGTTATTCATTTTCCTGCCAAAAATTTTCACGGGGCCGTACGTGGCAACCACGTATGCCGGGGGCTGAATTTGATAAACTGAAGTTGTGAATGAGTTGGGAACATTTCCTGAAAATTTCAGCCTCCCAGCTTTCTTTGTTCCCGAGCTAGCGATTTTCGCGCCAGGAACCCTCAGAGGGCCGTACGCGGGAACCAGGAACCCCCGGGGGCTGAATTTGAAATCTTTAAGTTCTACAGGGGCGCGGAACATAACCTCAAAATTTCAGCTTTCTAGCTTTCCTGGTTCCCGAGTTAGCGGTTTTCCCGCCAAAACTTTAACCCTCTCGTGCGCGGGC